CGCCGCCGCCTCTCACCCGGCCCTTGCCCGCAGGAGCCCCGGCAGCAGCCCGTGCTCCAGCAGTCGCCCTACGGCCCCTGCCACTACGAGATCAAGCAGTTCCTGGAGTGTGCTACCAACCAGAGAGACCTGACCTTGTGCGAGGGCTTCAACGAGGCTCTGAAGCAGTGCAAGTATAGCAACGGTGAGTGTGCCCCGCAGGGGGAACTGCTGCCAGGAGAGCACCTGAGAGGGTTTGAAGATTGCAGAAAAGATCTTCAGAGGTTATAGTGCTTTTCAGGGCTTTAAGTAGGAAGCGGTTCTGCCTTCCATGTGTCCTGGAGTGCAGAAGGGAAGTGGAAAAGGCAGGAGAATATGATCATCACTCTGTGAAAGTGAGAAGGCTGTAGGGACCCTCATAGAGCTTCCTCTCTTGCTGTGGTGCGAAGCCTGCTGCTTTCCCTAGATGATTCCCTAATTTTTGCTGCATTTGTTTCAGTAGTCAGGTCTTGATCTGGTTACCTTAGATATGAGAACTTTTAACTCCAGTTGCTGAAACATGTACCTAATGCTGAATTTGTGCTTCTTCCCTACAGGTGTTTCTTCTCTCCTGTGAAGAATCTGCCCCCTCATAGGGAAGAGGATTGTGGTGTAGAGCCCTGCTATCCACAGGGAATGGAAGGATGAACAGGGAATGAGCTGGAGGGAGCAGACTGACCAGGCAGGAGTACTGTAGTGGTAATTCACTTCTGAAGTAGTAGAGAAGGAAAGGAATGGTTGGACCTAAGGGTCTTCAGAATTCAGATAGTGCTGTATTTATTACAGAGAAATAAAGGAATTTATTTGGACCTATCACTTGTGCCTGTTATTTACTTAATTCTCAAGCTAAAATTAAGCTACCAAAATGTTAACAGTATCAGCCACATAAAGGACAAGGCAAAACTGTATTTCCTGCGGACAGGAGGTGCAGCCTAGCAAGGGCTGTGCCTGCATGACTTGGCAAAAAGAGCTCCAGACCTGAGCTGAGGCTGCTTTGGCTGCCCTCCAGGCAGAGCGGGGGCTGGAGAGAGGTAATCCAAGATGTGTCCTACAGTATCTTCAGTAACAAATTATTTTCCTATAGATAGCCTCTTCCTAAAGAGCTATTCTGATCTCAGAGCTAAGAGAGTATGACCTGTCTGGCTGTGGGACTCGGATACAGTCGGCTAATCATACGTAAAAGCTTTAGCAGGTTATGCAGTATTCTCAAGGTCACCTCAAAGCATCAGGTGAAGTTTGGAGCTGTTTTCCTCTTAGTCACCTTGGCAGAACAGCCTCGTGAGTGCTGCCCGGACGCCTCCAGCAGGACACCCTGTTCCTCGTGTTGACATAGGAATTTGGAGGCTTCAGCTGGAGTTTTAGTGGCACAGCAGTGTCAGATGCTTAACTGATGCATTTACATGACAGTGAGTCAATTAACCTTTTGATCTGTGACTGTTAAATGTTGGGCAAGTTCTCAGCCCCTTGCTGGGATGTGTGAGGAAATCCAGGTCTAGATGGTAAATTCTGGCAGCAGATACTGGAGGCTCGTGTCAAAAGTCCTGCTCCTTCTAAATATCACAGTCTAAATTCTTGGTAGATAATGTCCTGAGCCTTATCGGGGTGCCTTGTGCTCTCCTGAGAGACAGCCAAGGGAAGAAGTCGGTGCCAGAGACTCGCAGTCCAGGTGCTCAGTGTGCTGAGCTGCCTCAATACGTGCAGGGAGGAACCAGTCTGCAGTTAAGAAATAAATACTAGATTGATGTTGGTGTGTGCTGGTTTGGGAAGAGAAGCTGATAAGGAGAACCAGCAGGGATACCTGCAACAGGTGTGTTCTGTCTTTGACCCATCTTGGCAAAGTGCTGGCAATGCTGCTTCTGCAGTTGTGGAGACTGGCTGTCTCTGGAACAGCTTTTCTTGGTGGCTGCAGTGGACAGTCTCTAGAAGGCCACTGCTAGTATGGTGGTGGTGTGGAAAGCAGACCTGTGCAGTGATGCAGTGCATGTTCCTCTGGCTGCTGGTGCAGGTGGATTGAAAGGAGGTGCAGGCTCTCTCTGGAGAGAGACATGGCCATGCCATAGGAACATAAGTGACTACTTGAAGTAGGAGGAGGGTGCTTGTGCCTGTCTTTGGTGCTGTTTGCCTTGTTTGTCACGGTGCAGCTGTGGACGTGGTAGTGTGAACCTCTGAGAGCAGTAGGAGATCCCAGGGAGAGGAGCTCAGTAGCAGAGGACCCTTGCTGAGCTGGAGATAAGTGGTTGAGCCCTGGTGGTGGCTGCAGTGCATGTGTCACCAGTACTGAGTCAGTTCCTCATTTAGGGGTATCCTTGAGCTCTGAGCTCCGCTTGCTCTGTGAGGTGGTCTTGTGCCTGGCTGGGATGCTGCTGCAGGGCTGAGCTCTCCTCCTCTGGTCTCTCCCCTGGGTCTTTGCTGAGAGCTGCTGCAGCCGACCTGTGGAGTGAACGATGCCCTCCAGAGCTATGTGTTTTCCTGCTGTGTTGCTCAGTGACCTCTTGCATGTTGAGCAAGGCACTGCCAACCTCTGAGACTACAGCCTGGGACAGATGCTTCTGGGTTTCCCAATTTCTCCTGTTGTCCTTCCCTCCCAGTTTGTTCCAAGGAAATGTCCCCTCCTTGCTTTGGATCCCTCCAAGCTGGGCTGCTTGTGCCTGGTATGGGGTGGGAGGGCAGCAAGGCCCTGTGCTCTCACTAACTAGGATGGATTCTGCAAACCAGCTCTGGCTTCTGCTGCCTAAATGCACTCGCTGCTGCCCACAGCTATAACCAGCCCTGAAGCTTGGAGCTGTGAAGGGGCAAGAGTGGGATGCAGAGGACAGTCTTACAGCTGCTGTACAAGGGCTGAGGTGGGGAGAGGAGTCATGACTACACCCCTGGCTCCTCTGTGGAGCTCAGTTGGGTGCCTGGTTCTTACCTGTTAGGTCAGGGTAGTGTTTCCCCAGGTCCTCTAGCAAGGATTCATAGCAGGTGGCTTCAGAGCTTTCTTCTCCTGCCAGCAGTATGGGAGAAATTGGTCAGTCTCTCTCCTGGCTGTAAACTGAAGGCTTTGTAGCTGGGGCAGGTGGTTCTGCCCAGATAAGATTCTTCTTCCCCTAGAACAGCCACCTTGGACAAACACAAGGTTCAGCTTTAGCTCTTCATCTGAGCTGGCTTCTGCCTCCTCAGAGCTCCTGTGCCATGTCCAAGTGGCTGCTGAATAAAGCCCCTTTCCAAACCCAAATACACACCCAGAGGAGACCCTTCTTGGCTGAGCTGTGCTGTATCAGCAAGGAACTTACGGATGACTCTGATGAGGATGTAGTGCTTCCTTTCCCGTAGGTATTTACTGGCGAATTCAGTTGCAGGATTTTCCACCTTGCTCAGGTTCATCAAGGTGCCTGTTTCATCCAGAAGGTCGATGCAGTCTGGAGGGAGAGACAAGTGGTTGAGGAAGCCCAGTGTGCCACTGTGTGGCTAGCATGAGCCTGTGGGGTTTAGAGGTATTTTCTTTGGCAAGTCATGCTTTGAAGAGAATCTGC